CTTCTAGTAGTCATCAAAAATTCATATGATATAGTATTATTGACAGATCCACTATCAATAATTATATTTGCTGATAGATTTTCTATTACTCCAACACAATATGCAGTATCAATAGATTTTTCTTTAGCCTTTGTATTATTATTATCCATTAAAATATGTATATTATTATTTTTGTGATTATTTTCTTCTTTTTGTTGTTTTTGAATTATATTTTCTGATTGATTATTTAATAATAATATTTGTAATGTTGATTTTTGTGAAGATTTTATTTTTGATTGAGCACTCTCACCTTCCAAGAGTGTTTCTAACAGTTTAAATATTTCTTGTCATCTTCTTTTTTTAAATTATTATTGTTGATTATTACTGTTAATTGTTGCAAAATTAATTCCATATTTGGAGTATTATTGTTTTCAACAATTTGATTTGCTGCTAGATGACTTGGTTGATGATTCCAACCTGGATTTTCATTTTTCTTAGTATAGTCTTTTGCAAAATATTCATTTCTTCCACAAGTATAACAGTTTTTATTTTGTGAATTATTGCTACTGTTATTATTATTATTTCATTGTTTTCAGTTTTTAGTATTTTTTTTATGAAAACAGCTCTTTTCTTTATGACTAGATTTTCCATAATAATTACAAGTCATATTATTTTTTCTTTGAAAATTATTATTATTATTATTGTTATTATTATTATTTGAACGAGTATTCTAGTTAGATAATTTTTAATTATTAGATAGTTGCTTAACTTGAGCTGTTAAGTTAGCAATCATTTTTGTGACATCATCTATTGCTGGAGTTACTGGTGTAGTTGGTAATGAAAAACCAAAATGTTGTAATATTGGAACAGTTGCATATACTTGTTGTAATAGATTATTATATGTTCTATTATATTCAACTTCAGTTTGTAGAGCTAAATTGATTGCCTCATCCAAAGTATTTGAATTTTTTCAATTGATGAAAAATGCTATTGATGGATTAAGACCTTTGGTAAATTCTCTTACTCTATAATCCTCTGGATATGCATTTTCTGAATCAATTTTCTTTAATAAGATTCTAATATCATTTGAGTATTGAATGACATTTTTAGTTGAACTTTGAACTCTTATTGCTAATTGTTGTCTCCATGTCATTACTTGAGCATGTATGCGAAATTGATTCATAAATTGTTGCTTAAAAGAATTATTGTTATTCTCATTTCAATTTCTAGGCCAATCATTATGAGTGGTATTATGATTCAGTTTTATATATATATACATCTTAATTATTTTTATTTTATCTTTTAAATTAATATTTTTAAAATTTCTTTTTATTATTGAATTAACGAATATACATGATTTTAGTATACAAACTACATAAACATACATAAATATACATAAACATATATGAGACTACAAATCATGTATTATTAGTGAATATAATGTATTAGTCATGATTATAATATATTATTAGTTATTATTATATGTTTTAGAAACTATAATGATGAATTATTAGTAGTCAAATGACGCATTAAATATAGAAATTTTGTATATAAAGAGATGCTTTTTGTCATAAAGAAAAAGCATCAATTGATCAAGGTACAGCTAGCAAAATAACTTGTTCTATATAGTTATTGTATCAAAATCAATAAAAACTTAATTATTATATTACTTTAAATAAAATCTTATTATGTATAATTACTTTGATTATATTGATTGATTTAATCTATTTTTAATTACATCGCTAAGAATATAAAGCACACTTAGGATTTATCTATACTAAGAAGATCCACAATATTTTTTAGTTTAAAAATAATAACACATTTTATTCATCATAAAGAGAAATTTATAATAGTATTTTGACTTACTTAAATTTGAATAGAAGAAAAGATTTTCTATAATTCATATTATATCAAAAAGCACTAGCTGTTACAATGACTTTATATTGTTCATACCAGTGTCCAGCTATACCTTTTAGATAAGCAGGTACAGCTTGTATTTTTCTTGCTGGTTGAATATTGTTAGTATTGGTACTTCTATCAAACTCTTCAAACCAGGTAACTGGATCATTAGTTCCATTATCATGGAATGTTGAAAGTGAGACATTCTTTCATTCTGATGATATTGCTCGATCAGCATTCATAGCTGCTATTAGTAGTATAATAGTTGCTATTAAATCAGCAATTATTTGTTCTGTCATATCTTCTTCTTGTTGGTCAATGGCTTTTTGATTATCTGGTTGTGGTAATGGTGTAGGTTGTTGTAATAATTGTTAATTTTGTTGTTGAATTTGTTGTCTTCTTTGAGCTCTTTCTGCTCTTTTATTTGTGACTGTTTGTTGTTGTAAATATCAATCTCTTTGTTGATTAAAATTAATAATATCTTCACTAAAATTTTGAAGATAATTTATTATTTCTAGTGGAGTTTTATTGCTATTGTTAGAAATTAGTTGTGCTAATTGTGTTATTGTTGATGTATAATCTTGCCAAGTAATTGTTGAGCAAAGAGTGTTTCTACTGAATTAAATAAGTGAGCTTTGTTGTTATTGCTTAATTCTTCAGTTATTAGTGCAGCTCTAAGTAAGTGATATTGTCTTCATACTTTTATTGCTGTTGGTCTTGTTGGATCCACTTTGAATTATTTTTTGGTTTGAGTACTTCTTTTACCAAATTGATATATATTTTCTTTGTATGGATTAAATGATTTTGAGATTTGTTGATAATTTTGTAATATCTTTTTACTATCATTGTTGATATTATAGATATATTTATTTTGAAAAGTTTTGTTTAGTTTTGCTTTATAATTCAAAATAATTATAATTTCTTGTTTTTGCATTTGCTTTGATTATTTTTGCTTTTTAGAAGATTAGCACTTTTTCTTCCACAGAGAGAGCACCAAAAATCTGTTACTGTTAGTAGCCTTTACGGATAAAGATCTTTACTAGAACAGTAAACAGTGACTGCATCGTATGAAAAAGCATGGAGGAATAAGCAAAATGTAAAAATAATCTTCTAATACTATTATTTGTTAGCTAAAACACTAAAAGATTCACAAAGAATCTTACAAGTTCACAAAGAATCTTTAAAAATAAAATGTATTTTTATAAGAATAAAATAAGTTTACCAAGAACTAAATGAATTCATCAAGAATTTGAAGTATTTATAAAGAGTTTTTAAGAAAGATAGAACACAAAGTTCTTTAATAATTTAACGAAGAAGTAATTTAGATTCATCAAGAATCTGTTTTTATTAATCAAGAAAAAAAACACAAAGTAATCAATTTTTCTGACGAACATACAGTAAGTCAGTTATTAGATTTTTAAAGGATAAAAGCAAAGAAACTTTATTACTTTTCTATCTTGCCTTCTTTTTTTAGCTAAGATACATGTTATTTTTATAATAATTATTCATTACTCAATCTTCTTAATCTATTCTATTTAGAATGAGATATAATTCATTCTATAAACTAATTTGTGATGTTTCACACCTTTTGCTTAAGTGTAATTAATTTACTATGAATTATTATTAAGCTAATTTGGTTCTCAAAGATCAATAACATGTATTTTTCATACTAATAATAATAATATAAAAATAATATAAACTAAAAATAAATAGTATGAATTAAAAATAAATAATATGAAATATAAATGATATAAAATATAATAGTATGAAATATAAAAAATATAGGATAAAATAGTATGAAATATAATGAAATTAGAATGAAATAGTATGAAATCTAAAAGATTAGTATGAACTAAAAAGGGTTACAATTATAGATCATATATTTACTAACTATCCAATAGAAATATACTATAAATAACATGATATATATTTTATATCAAGTGTTAAATTTATCACATGGTGACAATATGATTATAAAGAAGTTTAACTGTAATCTATTCTATTTAGAATAAGACTTAATTTATTCTATAAATTATCTTGTGATGCTTGTTTCAATATTTAACATCTTTTATTTGAGTATAATTAATTACTATAAATTACTATTAAGCTAATTTGGTCTTTAAAAATCAATTAACATGTGTTTTTCATACTAATAATAATAATAATATGAAAATAATAAGAATTAAATACAAATATATTTAAAATAGAATAAATAATATGAAATATAAAATGAATAGTATGAAATATATTTAAAATAATATGAAATATATTAAAAATAATAAAATATAAAATAAATAGTATGAACTAAAAAGAGATTGTAATTCATAAATCATATATTTACTAACTATCTAATAGAAATATACTTAAAATAATGTGATATATTTCATATTAGATACTAAAATATCACATAATGACAATACTAATAATAATAATAATAATATGTAAATAATATGAATACTATGAAATATAATTAAAATAGAATGAAATAATATAAAATATAAAATGAATAATATGAACTAAAAGAGATCATGATTTGTAAACCACATGTATACTAGCTATCCAATAAAATATATTTTAAATAATGTGATATACCTTATATTAAATGCTAAAATATCACATGGTGACAATATCATTGTATAGTTAGATCTCTCTAAGTGCAATCCCTCTAAGTGCAATTATTCTCTAAATGTATGTTCTAATTTGGTCCCAACTTATAAGACATATATGTATTTTTATCTCCATAAATACAATACCTCTCTAAGTGCAAGTTTTTGTATGGTCTCGACGAGTTGCACTTAGAGAGATCTGACTGTATTACAAGCTAAAGTGACGAATCGATTCCGATATCATGTGCTTGTAATACACAAGCCATATTAAGTCACATGTCACATATCACATATTCTAATTTTTTTGTTGGGTAGATCACTTCTAAAGTATCTTGTTTGCATTTTGTATTTATTACGCGTTTTTCATACGCGCGTCTATTATACTTTGGATTATGTCATGTGTGTAGATTTTCTACGTATAGATTGGCTCAATGAAAAATAAATTATGACGTCATAATGTATCTGATATATTATCTTTGAGAAAGATTCGTTTTTTTCGCTTTTTGCCACAGCCAGATGATGCAAGATTTACAAGAAAACGAAACTTTGTATAAGTGCAAGTGGGGGCTTTGTCAAGAGGTGTTCTCCACGACTCGTCAACTATGGATGCACGTAGAAACTCATGTCGTTGACGCGCAAACTCGCACCGTTGTCATTCGACAACCTGAGAAAGAAGGTATGTCATAACCTTCTTTTAATCTATACGCTTAATCAATACAATATCTCATTAATTTCTACTTTAGGATCGAACGAGGTTGTATCGTTAGAAATAATTCAGCCTAAGGCTCAAGAGAATATTACATCAAATAATATAAATAGCGAGCTTTCATCAATGACAACAACGAACAACTTTAACGCGAATCCAGATAACTCAACAACCAGCCAACCAAAGTGTCATAGTAGAAAGTTAAAATATATAACAGACTCAAAACTACAAAAATCATCTTCTCAATCACAATTACCAATTCCGGGAGTAATGCCACAAGTGCCAGTTTCTTTGCAAAGCTCTACACAGTCACCTGAAGTTGCACGACCACAGCAATCAATGCTTTTACAAGAACCAATGCAAATTTCACAGATTTCTCAGCCACAACAGTCGTTACAGCGAATTCAAACGTCTGAAGTTTCTCACCCACAACAATCAATTTTGCAATCGCAAATGCCTGAAATATCTTCACAACAACAATCAATATCGCCAATTCAGATGTCTGAATCAATGCAATTGCAATCGCAAATGTTTGGGGTTTTACAACCACAAACATCTGGAAATCCACACTTTCAACAAACGGTATCTCAAATACAATTGGCCAGACTTTTACAATTGCAATCACGGAAATCTGTGGAATCTCAAGTTTTTATGAGTACTCAGCAAATAATCCCAACCCAACCACCTGCTGACCATATGCAAAAATTGATGGAAGCACAACAATCTCAAGCATTTGCACTACAAAACTTGATGAATAATCAATCAAATTCACCTAGTGTAATAGCTCCCGCCAATATTATATCATCATCGATACCAAACACCTCTACCGTAATCGGCTATCAGCGAGTTCGCGTGAATAATAATAGCAAAATTCTTCACGACATGAATAATGTCAGCAGCCAAGTTCTTCACGATGTGAATAATGTCAGCCAAGTTCTTTTACCGATATTGAGTAATATGAATAATGGAAATCAGATAAGCCTTTCAACGACATCATTACAAACCGCACCTTCAAGAGTTTATACACAGAGATCAAGAACATATATGTCGCGATCGCAATTGCCTTATCCATCCATTAGACCTTTTGATCCTCAACACGCTATGCAGAACACACAAAATATTCAAATGCCAATCCAACATAATAATGTCACAACGCCGGTGATGAATAACTTGAATTCATCGAGGCCAAATTTACACCATTATGTTGGACCAATGGCACAAAACACAAATAATGTAATTCATCACACTCGAAGCTCGTCGTAATCTTAAATGCTTCTATATTATCAGTGAGATCATGATTTCATTTCTGTAATGACGAGTTAATTATGCAATTTTATTTTTATGTTCAATTGATATGTTTATCCTTTATACACATTCTTGAAATTATTTTATAACGGTAATCAATAAACGCCACTTTAAATTGTCAACGTGTTACAGGTCTTCGAGATTTTGTACTTGACAGATTTGTTTATTAATGGGTCTCAATATAGCCGATTTCTGAACTTTTTGAAACATCGATTTTTTTGATCATAATAAAAATCCAATACTTCAGAGTAATAAACCAAAAGCTTTTTTGGTTCTATTAGTTTGTAACTTTATCTTACGGTTTAAAAAATTGTAAACACGAATAAATAGATAAATGTCTTTTATTAACAATGACAGCGACAGTGACACTTTCGTAGACGCTGAAGATACTTTTTATGATTCCAATGGACGACCTATGGAATTTCGTTATTCCGCAGCGGTAGTATCTTCAAAAATCCGCGACGAAAATGGGGAGAAGTTCTTATTAGAGCGTAAGAAACCGATAAAAGCTCGGATACCGGTTATTCCCGAGATTTCTGTTACTGATACCTCATTAGGAGATGGTGATAGTACTTCAGTGTTGTTACCGAGTGAACCGGAACTAGAACCAGAAGAGGAAAAGATTATTGAAAAAGAGGTTGTTATATCCACTAAACGAATAGAAAAAAAAGATATTTCTTCAATTACACGAGGTAAGAAATTCAAATTATCGAATGATTTCGCGAAGCAGGAAAACTTATTGTCTCTTATCATTGGTGATGAATAGCTCAAAATCATAATCACACTGAGCAACAGGTGATTGCTGGCAATGAACCTGAGGTCACCGTTTACATCAAAGATCTGGACACGGGAAAAAACATTCCAGTCACTGATATTGAAGAGGAGTTAAAGAAATCAAATAAGAACAGCATTGATCCGTTATCCCTTCATATATTGAAAAGAACCGGTACCGATAGCGAAATAAATAGTCCTGTCGATGATGACGCGACACTACAAGGAAGTGGGAATTGGGATGGTTTGGTAAAGACAAATCTCAAAATGGGAAATGAACCTGAAAGTTATAGTGATGGAGAACCACGTAGAATAGATAAAGAAAATGGAAAATCGCACAGGTAAATTGGTTTGATTGTTATTATGATGATTTCACAAGTTTTTTGATTAAATATACTTATTGATTACTTGATCAAAAAAAAGACGCCCCAAGTCATTTTTAAATCGCCTTAAAAAGCGAACTACACGCAATGATAAAATTGATAATGAGGAGGAAGGCGATGAAAACGCAGTAACTGGCAATACTGCACCTGTGTTTGAATCACAGAGCGAATATGAACAAACACAACCACGTTATATAAAGGTAATTAAAGACAATATTTACTTATCAATTTTTTTGTTTCTGCTTTAATTTAAATTTAGACTATATTTAATTAGGTGAGAACACGATATAAGGATGTAAAAGAATTCGATCGTTTATTCCTTGCGCAAGAGCTTTCCAGTCCCTTATCATCAAAAGCTCCTCAATTCGACCAATCTGAAGAAGATGGTGGTGCAATCTGGACAATGAAATTTAGCAAGGATGGTAAATTTTTGGCGACTGGAGGGAAAGATTGGATTGTTCGGGTTTGGGCAGTTATTTCAAGTGATGAAGAAAGAGAACATTTTCTGGAAGGGTCCGGAACGAGTGTTTATGAAGGTCAAAGCGGTTCGAAATTGGGTGCACCCGTATTTCGGGATAAACCTATGTATGAATATGTTGGACATCAAGCCGATGTATTGGATTTGAGTTGGAGTAAGGTAAAGAAAATTGATAGAATGTGATTTTTATATTGCTAATTGATACTGATTAATCTTTTCTATTTGTTACGATCACAGAATAATTTCTTATTGTCTTCTTCGATGGATAAAACAGTCAGGTAATTTAATTTATTAATGATATATTTTTTCAAAATTGAGGAATAGTTTTTATTAAATAAAGATAACAACGGGCTAATATTAACAATAGATTATGGCACATTACGCGAAAAGAGTGTCTATGCTGCTTTCAGCACACCGATTTTGTTACAGCGATTGCTTTTCATCCAAAGGTTGGCTTTATTTTTTTCACCATAAGAATTATTCAACAACGCTAAATATTCATCCTGCTCATGCTTAGGATGATCGATTCTTTTTATCTGGCTCATTGGATTGTAAATTACGTTTATGGAATATTCCAGAAAAAAAGGTTGCACACTGGAACGAACTTACCGACTCGCATTTAGTTACCGCTGTTGGTTTCACAGTTGATGGAAAAATAGCAGTTGCCGGAAGCTTCACCGGTTTATGCTTATTCTATGAAACGGATGGTCTTGTATATAATACACAAATACATGTGCGTAGTTCTCGTGGACGAAATTCAAAAGGAAAAAAGATTACAGGGATTGAGGCAATACCAGGAACACTTCCTGGTCAAGATAAGGTTTGAGATATAGATACTAAAAATTTATTATTTAGATATAATATATGGATACTAAGTTAATATGCTTTACAGTTACTTATTAGTTCCAACGATTCTCGTATACGGTTATATAACATGCGTGACAAATCATTGGAATGTAAATATAAGGGCTTAGAGAACACTTGTAGCCAAATTCGCGCTACGTTTAGGTGATTAACTTATAAAATTAATTGGTAAAAGCAAACTGTCATATTAATCATCAATTTTCACGTCTGCAACCAGCGATGATGGTCGCTTTATAATTTGTGGGTCAGAAGATCGTCATGTGTACGTGTGGAATACAGATCAATCGAGCCTAAATTCAACAAACGGAGCTGGCGGCGGAAAATGGCTTAAAAAGGACAAATGTGGTTTCGAAGCATTTGAGGGTTAGTTCAATTTAATATCTTCTTTTATTATAATTTATACTTTATCTGAATAATGCCATTATTTATTTCTTTAATAGCGCATTCACATATAGTAACGGTAGCTATATTTGCACCAACGCGTACAAAACAATTGATTGCGATGACTGGTGATCCGATTTTCGCTCGTACCTTGAATGTTGACGCTAATGGAAACGCCATTCCTCCAACCAGTCAAACCTACCCAGATGGAAATATTATAGTTTGTGCCGATCAAACTGGTAGCATAAAAATATTTCGTAACGATTCATCATATTATCCTAAAAAAGATCTGGATTCTATTTCAACGCGTAGCACGCGTTCATGGAATTCCTCGTTAGGCGGTTTTCTGTCCCGAACAAGTAGACGACGCCGATTGAGTGACGTCTCAAGCCTATATTCAATTAGTACATCCAGTGCATTGAGTGTTGACGCCGCTACTCATGAAGCTCCTAGTGGTGACGAGGAAATGCAATGTGATGGATGCGGATCTACGGAATTTAGAGCTTTTTTCGCTAAAACGCTAACAGAGGGTAAATCTGCTCAAAAATCAACATTAGTCTGCGCAAATTGCGGGAAAATGGGGGTTATTGCTGACTGAGAGAAAGCGTGTTTAGTTAATTCTTCGTTTGTTTTTTTTTTGGAAAAATTATTTACTTTGTATAATAAAAAAAGCATTCTATTTTGTATGTTAGCATTACGTGATTACTAAAATACCATACATACATCAAGATACATTTTGCATTATTTCAACGTCAAAACCGGCTTTAAAAAAAATTCGCAGCCACGTTCGCCCTTATAATCAATGTGGCTGAACATATCCGATATCATGCAGTTGCGTTTGTACTTTTTGAGATGATATTGATGCATGACATAAATGTAATTTACTTGTCATATGTTTGTGTATATATTGCAGTGATTGCCCTGCCGCAATTCTCACTTCTTTTTTCCTCAAAAAACACCTACTTTTCTCCCCTCCTTTATATATATATATATATATCATAATATATAAAATTTCTCCCAACTATCCGTACATACAAACCACCATCCATTTCTCGCGATTTCTACGATGCCTGAGAGTATAATATACGAAGATACTCCTTTTGCCCAATATTTAGCTGGTTAGAGTTTGCTTTTCAAAAAATTACCCACATGCATCTAAATTTTTATTATGAAAAATGAAGTTGACAGTTGAATTTTTCCTATTCTATTTTAGAAATTGGCAGCGAAGAAGAAGTTGTTAAACAACCAGAACCAAAAGGTTTTGAATCAGAAGAACACGCAACAGAGAAACATAAAACTGCTTTTCGTGAAAAATTACTTTCAACCTCATACGAAACAATAACATATTTAAAGGTATTATTTCGAGATCTAGTTAGTATATACTGTTTTCTTAATGAAAATCGAAACTTTAATTATTTATCTATTTGGTTTGCTTACAGGAAACATTATCAACCGCTCTTCCTCTTCGAGAAGAAAATCAATTTGAAGAACGCTTTAAATACATTCTTTGCACCTCACACCTTTTAAATGAAGCGCCCTCAATACATTTTTATGATAGTCGAAGACCAATTGTAACTGATATTACGGAAGCTGGACAGTACTTTGGCGGTCTAACTAGACGAAATTTCGAAATTTTGTTGAGTACTTTTGTGACTTTGGTTAGCGTATTTCTTGCATGGGTATTACAAGCCGATTCAAAAGACTCAACCGGAAGATTGGTGCGATTACCCATAGCTCTCATAACACCGATAATTGCCTCTTTCTGGCTATATAGACATATGGTAAGAGCGATATTGATTTTTTTTCTTAAGTTGAAATTTCTTTTTAATCTTTTTTCGTTGTTTTAAAAAAAATAGCGACGAAAGGCCATGAAAACTTTACATGATTCAGCATTACACTTGGTGCAAGTGCTTGTTTATAACTGTCAAACATTTGATCTCAAAGTTAACAAAGCATTAATAATGATTCAGGAAATTGAGCTCGTATCTCGAGGCTACAGATTGTATCCTTTTATATATATACATATCTTTATTTAGATCGTTCTGATGAAAGATAATTATTTCCGTGACTATTGTTTGACACTCTCTTCTTAGATCCATGCCACTTTCTCCGATTACTCGTATCGAACAGTCGTCTAAAACTCGGCGATGTATTGCACTTCGTGATACATTACATGCCATCCTCCGGGAAGCTTTTATGGGATATCGCCGTGCAATTATGACAATTCAACCAGAAATTTCTCAAGCTAGCTTAAATATTATGTATAACATGTACAATATCCCCTCGAGCGTAAAAGAAGATGATTGGAATATGGACGACGTTGAAGATCCGACCTCTTTAGAAAATTTGCGTCTATGTTTCCAAAAAATGCACTCAAAAAGAAGGGAATGTTTGTGTCATTTATTGGCGCTGGATGTCATGACTTCTGGCAGAGATTCTGATCGACGAGATTATGAACAACATTGGGCTGCTGTAAATGAACACATCAATGAATTAGGCTCTATTACTGGACATTATTTAGATACAGTGATTGCGTCATCTACAAATGAGCCATGTAAGTATCTAATACTCTTCCATTATTCTAATGGTGGTGTGTCTTAATAATATAATATAATATAGAAAAAACAATTTTTTGAATATTTTTCCTTTTGGTAATTATTACTTTTAGTGGATGCACTACCACCACCAAACCAAGATATACTTTCTCGACTTACTCATTTTGCACCAGACAAACGTTTGCGTGCATATCTTCATAAATTGGCATCCATTGAACAATATGTTCGTGGTATTCAAGCCAAAGTATATCTTTGTAATGAAGATGCTCGCAAATATTATGAAACTGAAGGTGTTATTATTTTTATTATGCTTAAATGAATTAATCACGAAAAACTTTATCTAAAATATCATTTTTTAATAGGTTTTGTCGATCCGAAGGAATCAGAACTCTTGATGAATCAATACAATTCGTTAGCGCAAGATTTCTCTTTTATGGCACAAGAATGGCAAGAAGGAAAACAAGCGCTCACAAAATTGATTCAAGAACCCGAAGATCCTGATACTCCTGGTTAGTTTATTTATCATTTTTCTTCTTCACACTCACGGATGATCCTTTGCTTAAATCGTTTATGCATCAATTTTTTGCGAGCAGTGAATAGACGTTCACTTGAAGTTGACATGTCAAATCAGGAACAAGAAAGTACAGAAAACGATGAAAATAGTTCGGAAAGAACATTAATTGATTGGCAACAGATTGACGAACCTTTGGATGTACCAGAGCAATACTTTGAGGCAATAGCAGAACCTGAAGCAAAACAGGTATGTGAGTGTTACTGTTATTGTTATTATGAATTATTTGAATTCTTTAAGTAATCGCATTGCTTTCTTTGTAAATTCAGACATTAACAAGAGAAGAAAGAATCGCTATTCAAAAGGCAAAAAAAGCCGAGGAGGTACGAGCATACTTTGCGGTCGGCGCAGAAGGGAGGGGCATATTTATAGCGAGTTCATGATCAGATTCAGTTCGAGCTATAAATATCTCATCCTTTGGGCGTAAGCATAAACTTCACGCCTAAGCTTATTCGAGGTCCTATAACAAAATCTATAGGCCAAAATTAAAACCGCACGTGCCGATAGTGAACGTATGGTACGTGAATTAAAGGATGTATTGTTGGTAAGAAAGCGACCAAAAAACTCGGAAGAAACTGAATCGACATCAAATACTACACCTAATCAATCTCTTCCACTCCAAACAACACCCAATCAATTTCAACAACTACAACAACAACTTACGCAAAAATTACAACAAAACTTTCCAATTGTGGAAATTAATAATAATTAATATCAATTTAGGCAATTATAAAAATCTCTAGAAAATAGCAAAAACTTATAGACCATTGGTTTTATTTATTAAAAACTACATCGAAACTAATGCTTAATTTTCTCTACGCCTTTTTTTTTGAAGTTATCATCGCCAATATATAACAAATAACGTACAACAATGATCAACTTTTCGAAAATAATTTAATTTATATTACGCAATATATTAGGAAAAATTGCTCATTAATACTTTTAAAATTCATACAGATTTGTATAATACTCACCGACGTTGCATTGTAACATACTTATACATTTATCTATCTAATCATTATTTTCTAATAATCGCATTCACATAATCAACTCAACTTGAAGTTGAGAGTCCTCCATAATAAAAGCGAAATTTTGACTAATTAATTAATTAATTAAACTAAAGAAATATACGATCTTTAACACCAAATTTTGCCACTATTCCTATTTTTCTAGATTAAATTTGACTGTAATGCTGAATCCATATTTGTATTAAAATATAAAGAGTAACTTCGAGTTAATCAGATTAACACACAATCATTGGTAAAATGACCTTTTTAATTTAAGACAAAAAATATTGACAACTAATTGCATTTTTATCAAGTACTTTGACCAACTGATGACAAAACGACATTAAGATAATAATCAAGTATTTATCTCTTCTAAAAGTGTATCTTCAATAAACCTTCCGATTGATCTTGCAACTTCCGGTATTACACCATAAATCATTCTCAGAAAGACAGTATACCACGGAAACCAAACATTCTTTTCACCCCGCAATCCACTCCTTAAAACAACGTCAGCAGCTTCACTCGGATCTTTCGCTATAAACGATTTACTCCCAAACCACAGTTTCGGAAACCTCGATAAATTAATTTTCCATATTTCAGTATTCACGGCACCCAAATGAACGATAGTGACGCGAATCGGAAGTTTAGCGTGTGAGAGTTGATCTCGTAAACAGTTGAAATAAGAATTTATTGCAGATTTCGTGGCACTGTATGCCCACGACATTCCTAATGAGATTTCTGCGAACATAGATGTAACTACAATTATTGTGGAAAAGTTTGAGGAAGATGATGACAGTGTTGACATGTGTGGGATTGCGTGATGTGCTAATGCAGCGAAACCGATGAAATTTACATTTGTAAGATTTCTTGTTTTTTCTAGTGTTCCTATGGGATCAGAAAAGTTTATACGCTCCATAATCGAGAGGGTGTGATTCAGAATTAAAAGATCGATTCTGCTGTCATTATTGCTGCTCTTAAAGAAATCAAGAGATTCTCTAATTAATCGAACACATTCTTCTTCGATACCAAGATCACAAGTGACAACTTTGATCCTGGACTGATTGTTGGAGAGATGTAAGCATTTATCGTAAACTTTTTCTAGAAGAGATGTTCTACGTGCTGCAATTATTATTTTTGATGCTTTGTTCAATGCGCAGTGGTATGCTATTTCCGCTCTTGTGTATTAATAATTTATTACATTTAATGTTATTAAAAAAATAAACACATAAAATTTTTTTCGTGAATATACACTCACCCAATCCCCCAACTAGCACCGGTAATAATCACATTTTTCCCTTCGAGTTTTCCGAGAGAAAGTTCCGTTTTTTTATAAATAAAGCGGTAGAGCAGCGTCACTAACAAAATCACGATTGGTACAATTAAATCGATTGCATCCATATTTATTTTGATATTTTGCGAAAAAGATTTCTGTTTATTGTTTGGAAGATCGCTAACTTAGGTCTGTTGATAAAAGTAATCCAATGATAAAGGTATCAAAACCAATCTCCAGTATAGAATTCTCGCAAATTCTTCAGAAAATTAAATTTACTGGAGTGGGTAAAACTCCAAGACGAATTGGTTCGTAATTAGAATAAATAAATACACAGTGCAAAAAAAAAGTTTGAAATGATTAATCAAAATTCGGATTTGATTTGTTAATCTTCGATTTATGATTTATCGTTATATATAAAAAGGTGTTGCTGTATCAGGTGGCCTAGATAGCATCGCTCTATGTTATTTACTACGAGATTGGTCCATATCTAATGGCTGTAAACTGATGGCGTTTACTGTTGATCATCAATTACGCGATGAGAGTAGTGGTGAAGCAAAGAATGTTGGAGAGTTGATGCGGAAATTAGGTGAATTTTAAATATTAGTAATATTAATAAAATTATAGAGAATATTGCATATTAAAAAGGGGAAATTGTATTAAAAAAAAAAAGGAATTGACCATGAAATCATGAAAATAAACTGGTCAAGATCAACAACGATGACTAAAGAATCAGAAAAAGAAATTTTCAAGCATAGTAGTTCATTTCCAACAACGAGCCAATTGGAAACAAATGCACGAATTGAACGATACACGCTCTTAGCTCAAGCATGCAAGCAAAACTCGATACATCACTTATTTATTGGACACCATCAAAATGATCAATTAGAAACGTTGATAATGCGCTTTGCAAGAGGAAGCGGAATTGAAGGATTATCGGCGATGAGTAATGAAATAAAGTTACCTGTTGTGAAAAGTGCCGACGCGATTGGGGTTAAATTGGTGAGACCTTTATTGGATTGTACAAAGGTAAAAATTGATTGTATTTACTTTCATACAAGATGAGATGATGGTTCGTGCAATTTTCCTTTAGTTTAAGATTTCTTCATTGATTCTAAAGGATCGTCTAAGGGAAACATGTGTATCTTTTAATATCCCATGGTTTGAAGACCCGACAAATACATCTCTAACTTATAAACGTAATGCGGTACGTGATTCATTAAGTAAAATCGAGCAAAAATTTCAAGAAGGTGACGAGAGATTACGGGCATTATCAACCGAGGGATTGAAACAGATTTTAGAACATATGCAAGATCACAGACAAGTCTTGAACGAAAAAGGTAAGAGAGATCAAGTCAGGATTTGGATAATATATTAATGAATGAATAAAACGTATTTTATTTTGCACAGTTAGTCAAATAGTGAAGTCGAAAGCAAGATTCAGTCTAAAATATGGCATTTGTATAATTGATATTCCACCCGACGCGTCAATATCCTCCTCCGGATGGTTGAATAACCTTCCCATATCATTCCGTGTTTTAAGTTATCTACTTCGATGGATTCGTTGCGCTGAATATTCACCACGACTAGTCCAAATTCGCACATTACACGCGCATATCCTTCAACAACTGATCCTACCACCAGAGCAACGTAAGAATCTAACAATCGCCGGTGTGCTCATTTCTCCCCCAAGCAAAAATTCCGGCGTGTTACAGCATCGATGGACAATGTATCGACAACCATTCAACAAAACAAATGCATTTGACAAAGTTGACATGTGTGAAATCCATTTCGAAAACAAAGAGGGAGAACTGGAAGGAATTTTATTATGGGATAATAGATTTTTCGTGGGTCTACGACTAAATGATCGCTTTCTTCAAGAAAAATACATTAAAAATAATGAGATTAAATTTTATGTTAATCGATTTATGAAAAAAGACTATGACATGATCAAAAAAATGTCTTATGGAAAATATATGAAAGCACTGAATGAATTCATTTATCATGTTCCTACGATCGGAAGGGAAACTTTTCCATTAGTCATGATGAAGAATCAGAAAACTGGACAGGAAAAAATATTGAGTATTCCTACGTTGGGTCTTGACTTTTATCCTCAAATTGGATCTTGTTGGGTTAAATTTCGTAATAACGTGATTAACATTAATACTACTAATGATCAGGATATAATAGGAGGTGGGTATTATGGTCACATTGACGAAGAAGAGTAATAATAATAATAATAATAATAATAATAATAATAATAATAATAATAATAATCATTAATAATTTAGTTCATTTCTTTGATTTTTTGAGTTTAATCCAATAATAATAACATTAAACATGTGCCAAAACAAAAAAAAATATTAAAATGAAAAAGAAAAGAAAATAAAGTTAAGATGATAAATATCTAATCTAATCTAACCATCATTGAAATTGTACTTCTTCTCATATACACGTAGTGTTAATTGGATCGAGTTTAGTTATTGATGTTGATGTTGAATTTTGGATGGATCAACGATCATCTGAGCAAGATTACGTGTAATATCCAACATGTCATTTCCACCAAGCCAAAGTGTATCTAAAACCCAACCGGCAGCATAGCCAACAACTCTGATCAATCCTACAATGCAAACAACTGCAAACACCACACCAAACACCAATCCGGCGAAAAGTCCAGCTCCTGCACCAGCCAATGATAAAATAAACGGTGCGCCAATACCGCCGAAAGTGGCCAGCATACCAAACACCACCGGTCCAATAAACAAGGCAATAAACGCGGCAAAAATCAACACAATTAAATAAGCATAATGCCAAACTGGGTGGTCGTTTCGTAGTTCGTGTGGGTTTAAGATATAGTGTACCACTGACTTTCCTTGTTCCACCAAATAGTCTTCGCCAGCGGCGGCTACTTGGAGATTTTGTTTGACGCGTCTTTGGTGTAGTTCTAGACTATTGGTACCTGAGGACTTTTTTGCAATTTCAACAGAAAGTTTTTGTTGCTGTTGATAAGATGCATTGTCGTTTAATGGAAGTTTTGTGGCATTGCCCATGTTAAGTGGTTCTGAAATCATGGTTCCACTCATTTTGAATAAAATATTATCGATGTATTCGTTTATGTGATAAAATTGGAATTTAAGAGTTCAAGACTTAATTAAATAATTTAATTTGTAACAAAAAATATCGAATTCTATTCTACCACTTTTCTTTATTATAATGTCTTTTTTTAACAAGCAGGTTATGCGGAAGCAACAGGAGCAAAATATGCAAAAAAAAACTGATCACAAACACAAGAGAAAAAAATCGTTAATATTAGCATATAGAAATAGAATGAACGACAAAAATATCCTGAATGTTCACATGCACTCTGTGCAAATTGCAAATCCCCCATGTCAAAAGCATGTGAATTATTTGGATAGTTTCATGGTAGTTCGCGTTATATTTTTTGGTTGATCTCATATTACAGTACTCGAAATTAATGCACCTATAACCCAGGGACTCCCAATTGTATTAGACTTGTTGAAAGTACCAGACGCACGTCTGAGAGCTTCGGTATTCGTCAAAATTACGATTTAGATAGATTTTACTTACCACAACTTCATATCAAATAGCATTTAGCTTGAAAACATAGAGCCTGATGAATGACGCGAAAATTGATAATAAATTAATTACGCATAATCACATATATTTCTGATTTTAATTCTATGCGTGTCATACCGATACATTATAATTGGATTTAACGTTAATAACGATAACCGGTTTTAATATTTTTAATATTAAAACCGATTATAATTAAACCGGATATCGAATTTGCTTTATGCCAAAGTTTCCATTAGAAATTTACTTTTTTGATAGATCTGCAAGACCCTCTAATTTAGGTTACATGTCGCAGCATATCGATATTAAAAATGAGAGTTAGGTTAGGGTCAATGTTAGAGTTGAGGCTAGGATTATCGTTATATGTAAAAATTGCAAATTGGGGGGTGTTTCAAAACTTTCATAACATGACACGTGTTATATTCACATGAATCTTTGAATATTTTTATCTGGATATCTAATTCTTGGCATTTGCCAAAAACAGGCCTGTGTAACTCTGTCTCTTATTTCAGTATTTTATTACAACATCGATAATACACGTAATTTGTCTTACTGTAACTGTAACTGTAACGGTAACGGTAAAACTTATATTTGCTACTGATATATACGTAATGGCTAATTAGAACCTGCCATTTTAGCTGGCTCGTCCACCCAGTACAAAGTTGGGACAATTTGAGACACAAAAAAATACAAATAGCATAAAATTTTATTATAAAAACCTATTTTGAGTGACTAATTAAAAATGCTTATAATCTCATTTTGCATATATTTTCAATAGAATTTTTTAAGTTCGATAGAAGTTGGGACATCCTTGGACGGGACGGGACGGGACAGTCTCAAAAACCTAAACAAAAATCATCTGCTCAAAACTTAATGCAATAGCACCGGATTTGGGAATCCACAAAACGTCATTGAATTAGGTTTTATTGGTGACACCCTAGTAACCATTCCCATACTAGATTACAATGATAAAACAGATATGATTTTTTTTTAAGGTCTAAAAACCGGACGATTGGATATAGACCAATCAACTTTCATGATTTTGTTGACTGTGCATATATCCGGATAGTAAGAAAAGGGTTGGTTTATAATGTACTCGTCTATTTTTTTGACAACTATCATCATCTTTTTATCTGTTACTAAAACTATTAAATTATACTTGTCACTCGTGAAATAAAATGGTAAGATTTTACCTCAATATATATAAAGATGACAGAGAAAATTTTGGAGGAACGTGAACTTAAGGATTTGTTTTTGCTTTTCTACTACTTATAGGATCATAATCTACCAGAAGTAAAAGAATATTTATATAAAATACTTGTGATTGGTGACCTGGGTACAGGAAAAACCAGCATCATTAAACGATATGTTAATAACGTGTTTTCAATGCACTATAAGAGCACGGTACGGCTGTTTTTAGGGTTTTTTTTGACTGATTACAGCAAAAAAGAACAGAGAATTAGACATTGATTCTTATGTACAAAATTTTGTTACTACAGAGTCGAATGTTGGCTTAATACATTTTTTTTGATAAATTTACACGTCACATTTTTAATTTATGGTTTCTAAACAGATCGGAGTTGATTTTGCATTAAAAGTGCTACAGTGGTCACCCGACACGGTGGTCAGACTCCAGTTATGGGATATTGCTGGCCAGGAAAGATTCGGAAATATGACAAAAGTAATTTTTTTTATCCTTTGTAATTCACTATCGAGAATTTTTGTTCGTCTTCTTCATTTCACCTCTTACTACATAAAGGTTTACTACAAAGAAGCCTTGGGTGCACTTGTTGTATATGATGTTACGCGTCCTTCGACTTTTGATGGAGTCACTAAATGGAAGAACGATCTTGATCAAAAAGTTTCGTTACCCGAAGCATGGGGTGGTGGATCAATTCCCGTTGTCTTAATGGGCAATAAAGTAATTATTTATTTAATATGGTTTTTCTTTAAATAATTAATACTAATCATACTGTCAAATAGTGCGATCTATTAAAGGATGGATATTCAAACAAGAGTGAATCAGAAATGATCAAATACTGTGAAGAGAACGGATTCGTTAAATGGTATAGAAGAAAAAAAATAGTTTTTTTTTTCTATGAATAATTTATTAATTATTATATGATTATCAAAGGTTTGATACATCAGCAAAAGAGAATCATAATGTTGATGAAGCAGCAAGATATTTAGTGTCACAAATATTAGAGATTGAACAACGAAACCAGGGTAAACCTCGTGAAAATAGAAATGGTGGTGTGATAAATATCCACGAAGAACAACAATACACTCATAACAGTTGTTGCTGACATCCCTATCGACTGGCAGACATATCGCCTTGACGCGAGAATCGAGCCTATTCTTTTTTTAATTCCCTTATTTATTAATTCAGCTTTTAAGGCATGAACAATTTTGGGTTTTCTATTCCACGTAGTAGATTTTTGTCATGTCACTTTATTAATAAAGAAAAATATCTCTTTCTTTATATAATTAAGTTATCATCAATATTCGTTTTTAATGTGTCAAGAATTTCCATGAGTGAGACAAGATGCCCAAATGTAATTAGCTGGAGGAGTGGGAGTAACAAATCTTGGTGGAATACGGGATGCTCCTTGTGTACCCGCCGGGACAATATATGCATCCCATTGACGTCTTTTGAAAGTGGGAGAAAAAAGTTAGCGAATGAGCAAAAATCTTGTTAAAAAAAAAAAAGGTTTGTCTCACCTGATGGATACAAGATTATCCAAATCGAATTCAGCCTGGTGCCAATATTCATATAAAGGATCACGTTCTCGCTCACGTTCCTTCATTCCTGCATCCATCGCTTCATCACGTTTCTGCTCAGCGGCCGCATTTCTTTCCTTTTCAAGACGTTCCTCTTCAATTTTCATTGCATCATTTAATGAGGCAACTTTATTGAAAAATTCATTATCCTCTTCCGGAAAGAAATGACCTATATATAATTATATAATAATATTGAGCGTAGACCGTCTAGTTCAACTATTGTCTCTCTTGTCGCACCTTCTCTTTTGAGTCTTTCTCGACGTAAATCTCGAAGTTTTTTCACTTGTTCAAGAAGTCTTGACAACTCTTTATGTCTATTTTTATTCGCTTCGGCTTCCTCGACGCGTTTTTCGGCATTTTCTTTGCGAGCTTGTTCCTACGATTTGAAAATATTGAGTGAAAAGTGGCTGATCTAGAATTATCATTACCAAACCTCACTCTTTTGAATGCCAGTTCTTTGGCAATCCATTCTGTCCGCCATTCATCGATTGTTTTGTGTAATGTTTCGCGGCGCCGTCTGCGCTCGTCACGAACATTTTGCAATTTTTTGATATGCTGCTTTTGCCATTTCTGATTTGATAATAAAACCAGTGAAATGATGGCTAATATAAATAGATAAATAAAGAAAATATAAAATTAACAGACTTTATGACGTCGTATTTTCGATATCTTCTGTTTTAATTTAGTTTGAAACTCCTTATTTAAAATCTCATTCATATTCGACTCGTATTCCGACTATTCTAGCAATAAATATATTAAAGTTTGATACCGTTTAAACATAGATGAAAAACGAATCTCTCTACCTTAATTTTCTCGATCTTCGACACCATCAATTCCCATTCTTTTTCGTTAGCCGAACCTTTCGCGACTTTCAACGCTTCTAGTTGTTCGTCTAATTCTTTTCTAAGTGCTTGAGCACGGAGCACTTTCTTTCGCGCATCACTAATTCTCGGTAGCCTGAATGAATTTTCTTGAAACCGAATATTATGCGACTTTAACCATGATTTAAGCCAAAGCTGCTCAGCACTGGAATTCTGTTTGTCTAGTACCAAAAAAATGTCGATTACAAAAATCTAGCAATAAAATAATGTTAAATGTGTTTTAATGCCTACCCTTAGGTAAAGAACTTTCCAATGTAACGCCAGGTGGCGCTTCGTGCTGAAAACTAAATGTTGTTTGAGGAAGAGACGGTCTCACAAATGCATGTTGGGAGTCAAACTGTTGAGGAATTTGTTGTGGGTAATTGGGATCACCAGGGAAAGAGTGTGTGATTGTTTGATTCGGGTCTTCGAATGTAGCTGCACTTGTGCTTGTTGTAGAATAGGAGGTGTGTTGGTTTATATTACTTGGCTGAAGCAAATTTGGGCCGGGAAATCCGGGTCGTTGTGGATAATAAAAGTAATTTGGTGATTGTGGGATGTAATGTTGAAATGGCGAAGCTTCTGTTGTCCAATTTTGTTGTGTTTCTCGTGAAAATTGCAAGTTTTTTTGTGGCGATTGAAACGAAGGTCGGTGAGGTTGCATTTGGTTGAGCTGATAGAATTAGTGTCATAATAAAAATTATTTTCGGGACAATAGGTGTGGTGCTCATGCACACGCACGATCACATATTAATTATATAAATAATAATACAAGATATGTTGTATATATGAATTTCCTATTTTGGTGTCACGTTTTCAACGGCGATAATTGGATCTCGGGAATATCACCTTGCATTCCCATATCAATATAAGCAGAAAATTAATTTACATCGCGTCAATATTTACTTGTTCGCCTGGTAGAACATCTTCTACCTGCCTCCCCCTCACCCACCTAAATATCATCATACCTCTCCAACGAACAGCTCGCGCAATATTTGCAGAGTTGTGTGTGCCTATCATTATTTACCGCAAATACGGAAAAAACCTCTAACGAGCCAGTTAAACGCGTTTTCCACCTTTCCCTCCTTTTTAGTCATCACTTCTACCACTCTCTTTTCTCTTTCTCCCTCTTGCTTTTTTGTTTTTTGTGTATTCCCTTTCTCGTCTTTTCGCGTAAAATAAATACTCACCTTTCTTATTTAAAATTTATTCTTTATTTCTTTAACATACCATTTTTCCCTTTTGGTTTAAACCAAATGCTGTGCATTTTGTGCTAACGAATAATACAAAAGAAATAAAAGAAACTATCAGCCGGTGCATTGAATAGAATATAGTTTTAATATAGTTTAATATAGTTTGTAAAATAGGATTAAAAATTTTCTATTTTTTGTATATTACTAACTGGTGTGCTAAGTTCAAACGAGTAGCTACAGAAAACATGGTAAATACAAGAGTTCACAGGCGTGCTGTTAAGGGTAAATATATGCACATTTATTGATAAAATTCGAGTTCAATTTTTTTTCGTATTTTCTGAATTCTGCTCGATTTTTCTTCAGATGAAAATCCCACAGAACCTACAAAAAAACCGACGAATACGAAATTAACGACCTCACCGTCTAATGGGAGCAACAACAAAGACAGTAAAGTCAAAGGTGATACTCAAATAGCAGCCCTTCCAAATGATATAGGAGATGCAAGAACCACACTAAAAGCAATCTCAACAGCAAAAGCAGTCATTGTGTCAAACAACCCGTCGACTAAAACCAGTACAACAGCTGTTGCTATCACATCCAATGATGTTACCGCAGAAAAAACAAATTCCAGTTCTAATTCACTAGGCGCTGGTGCATACATAGGAATTGGATTGGGAATATTGGTCGTTATAGGTTTGGCTGGATTTTTGATGCGGAAAAAAATCAATCGTCGTAAAGATTCAGAGAAATCCGGTGATAAAGAGTGGAATAGAAGTATTCCTTCTCATAATCAGACCGCAGCATATAATAAGGATAACACAGCATATACTAAGGATAATGCATATTCAAATCAGGCTCCAAATTCCTCGGTTGATAATACTCCAAAAATGACGCAAGTCCGGAATTTTAATTCTAGCACGAAAGATGATACTTCGAATTATAATGTGGCTGCGTCTGGAGGTGCTGCTTGGGACTATCGATATGGCACGGCTGAAAACGATAAAAAAGATAAGCCTTTGGTTGCGTCTAACGAAAAACCGACACAGTCCACTTTTTCCAAACAATGGTTAACAGATCAGCCAATTTTGAGTCATAATCACAATAGTAGTATAAATTCTAATTCGCGTTTCTCGGATCTTAGCAACAACAACAACAACAACAATAATAATTCTCGACCTATATCTCCCATCAGTAGTGACTCCGCTCCAAGATTACCTTCTCCCAAGCAGACAGATTCTGACGCAACTTCTTTCTATAGTAAAGCACGAGAATCACTTCAATATATACTTAACGTTGACGACGCTTTTTCATCTATTTCTTTAGATGATAATCAAAGTTCAATACATCGTCCCACTTCTCCTTCACAATCTTCACAGACCGGAAGTAAAAGGGTTTCTTCTCCACTTCGTCCCACTTCTCCGCAATCTTTTGAAAGTAAAGCGAATAAAAGGGCTTCTTCTACACTTCGCCCCACTTCGCAATCTTCACAGGTTGACAATAAAGAAAATAGAAAGATGTTTTTGCGACTTTCTAAAGACATCGAAAAAAATAAAGTAGCAGATCGATCGTCTTTCGTCGAGCATATGGAAATGATGCTTCAGAATTTCGACTCAAATAAAACAACGCTAAATACGCCCGAATTTGCTCAAAATAGACCGGATTCGCATCCTTTGGAAGATTTGGAAGAAATGTTGGCGAAATTCGCTTCTATCGATCCAAAGAATAAAGCAAATACTCAGCAAACCAATAATATTTCTGATGCTGCTCTTCCTCAAACTCCTCCCCAAACTCTCAATCCTACTCATAATAGGAACTCGAAATTGATAAGAAATACACCATCACCTTCGCCAATAAATATACCCGAGGCTCGGACCTATCTTAAAAAAGATACAGTTCCCTATTCTAAACCTTCTTCCCCGCCAGTAGTAAACAGTCGGTTAATTTCGCCGCCTCCTTCAGTTTTATCTATGCCCAAAAAAGATAAAACTGCTAGTCGGGAACTTGAGTCTAGTTTTCGTCAATCAACTCAAACACTTTCTTCAATTGAAGGTACTATTTTAAAGAAGGCATTAACTGAAGAACCATCGAAAATTTCGGTTGTTGATCAAAATAAAGGCAAAAATGAGCCTAAAAATACAGAACCAAAGATTCTAAAGAGCCCGCAGTTTAATAATCTAAATAAGACTCTTTCTTCTAGTTCAGAGAGAAATTTAGCTGTAAAACCGAAACCAACAGAATCAGTATCCCCGCCGATTTCACCCACCTTTTTGGGTAAAAAACCAAAGAAAGCTGTCGGAATAGTTAATGATTATGTCAAAAAGTTTGAAAATGAGGCTAAATCTGCTGTAAAAACTCCGATCCCGGTTAAAAGATCTTCAATTCAGATGTCGCCTTTCATTAAAGAAGCCACATCGCTTTCCGCTAAAAGATCTTCAATACAGACGACTCAGCCTGGCAAAGAATCTACGCCAATTCCTATCAAACGATCTTCAATACAAATTCCTGCAACTTTTAATAAGGATGTCAATAATAAACCATTGGGAGACTCCCCGCTACGTGGGGATGCAAATTCCAGAGTATCAATTCCAAAACCACAAAACGCTGCAAAGGTAGAAGAAATCAAGGCAAACTTGACTGGTGAAAAAAAGAATGAAGAAAAAAACGAGAAAAAATCCGATCCTAAATTACCAGCGATCTCAGTAACACCTTCGAATCGTGAATCGACACTAAACGAGATCAAAGACAATAATAAGGATAACGACACTGATTCGAGTCCTAAAGCAGTCCGTGAATCAGAATCAGAACTATCCAATATACAAGTAGCAGTTAAAGTTAACGTCGCTCGAAAACAAACTGCTGTAGCAAGTTACCCCGCAGTTGCAGATTCAAATCAAGATACCGAAAATAATCTTAGTGCTCCTGATACACCTAAATTCAACGTCACTTCGGCGGAAATGTCAGATGACAACGACTCGATATATGTTGATCCAGAGTCCAATACATCGTCAGCTAGATCTTCTTTATCATCGACATCATCTTCTGCAAATTCAGCCGCCACCTTGGTCGCACCCACAGACTCTGCACCCAAAGACACTGCACCCAAAGACACTGCGTCCAAAGACACTGCATCCAAAGACACTGCATCCAAAGACACTGCATCCAAAGACACTGCACCAAAATCATATAGAAGCCCCACATTAAGTATGTTTGGTCTATATGATTCAGAGGATAATGGAAGTATTTACCGTAAAAGTCAACAGTTGGAAAGTCAGCCAGTTGACCTTGAGAAATCTTAACGAGCTATAATTGGAAGTTGGCATGCTGTTAAAAAAAAAATACTCACTCATTTAGTGCTGGGATAGGCTTGCATTTTCTTTGTGTACGCATTACCATAAATGTATAACGATAACTGTTAGACTCGGTTATCATCAATTAGAGAAATATTAATTTATTCATTTTTTATTTAATCGACTGCATATATATATACATATATTTATTTAGTTTTTTCTTTTAATGCATCTTCAACAATTGTAATTTGTATCAATACATAATATTCCGCGTTCTTTCAAGCGTGTATTATTATATAATCAATCCATCATTTTTGTATATTGCACGCACGCCCTTGTATGATCATCAACGATTTTGTAATTTAATTTAATTGCATAAATTGATATATCTTCTAGGGCAAATTTGAAAATAAATTCGGAAATGATTTTTTTTTACTGTATTATTCAACTCGCGTACCACGATGCATGATTTAAGCAGTGCATCATCTCTTGGCTCATAAAAACGATATTGTTTCAATATATGAAAATAGTGTGAATTTATAAAAAGTCGTCGTTTTCTAGATATAATCGAGAATAATACATTTTCGTTGTTTAAACAGCTTTATTTTTTGAAACTATGAGTTGGTGAGTTTTAAAGTGTGAGATTTGGTAAAAGCATGAGAGGTAGAAAAAGAAAGCCTTTGTTGTTTAGTTCTCCAAAGACGACGGTGAGCGCAAAAAAAATATAAGATTCGGAGATGCTATATCTTTCATTCCTAGTACCACTATTATAAATATTTTATGTAAAAAACGCCTTCTTCGTGAAATCAAAGAACGAGTGGTAGCTTAGAATTTTAGGGAACAAAAGGGTTTTGTTTAACGAATGCTCATAGAAATGTTTTGATTAATTTAGGTCAGGCTTTAAAAAAACTTTGAATCGTACTGGTACTACGGTATATATTTTTTGAAAATGACGTCGAATTCTAAAAAGTGACAACAATCATCTCATTATTTTTCTTGGATATTTTAGATCATGCAAAGGACCGGTGCAATTGAAAAGACGGTTAGCAATTTGATATGTAGTCTATTTGAATGAATATTTGTTTATAAAATTTTGGTTCTAGGTCGATCGAGAGTTTGATGAAGAAGAAAGAAGAATTAAAAAGTGAGTGATGATGTGATGTATTATTAGTTATAAGAAATATTGAATATCAGTAAATTCGGACAAGTGATGTGTGCAATATGGGAATCAAAATAAAAGCTAAGCGAAAATTATTTCTTTAAAAAATATAGCTTACAACAAAAGTCCGAAAAGCTTCACAAAGAAGCAAAAGGATATCTGGATTCTTTGCGTGGTAAAATAAGGCTTTTATGATCTTTTAAATGAATCTCTTTCTGATAATCCAATTTGACTGATTTCTTGTTTTACCGACTAAAAAAAGCAATGACCACAGCTCAGGTCCGAATTGCCGAAACAATTGATAATTTTTATGAGGATTCTGATAATGCACTTGTAGGATCAAAATATAAACAAGCAGTCGAAAGATTAGATGATGATTGCCGTAATTCTTTGGCAAGTAGCTTCAACTGAGAGAATGAAAATAGTAAAAATCTAAATAATCTTTGGTGTATAGGATGAACCGTATCGTTATACAGTATTAGAGCCACTTGGTCGTTTCTGTGCCTACTTTCCCGATATTAACGAAAGCATTAAACGTCGTAATAAGAAATTATTGGATTATGATGCGATGCGTTCAAAAGTTCGAAAGTTGGTTGATAAACCATCGGATGATCCGACTAAATTACCAAGGGTTAGTATTCGCTTTATTTATTTTCACACAATAATCCAACATTCATCTAAGATATTTTTGGGTTGACTTAAAAGGTGGAACAACAATCAGAAACATCTCGAGAAATGTATGAATCACTCAACTCGAAACTCTTGGAGGAATTGCCACAACTGATTGATTTGCGAGTTGATTATATAGATCCAACATTTGAAGCATTTGTAAAAATTCAAATGAAGTTTTGCCAGGAAAGTTATGAACAATTGGACGCGTTGCAACAATATTTTCCGGCGGATAGACACGTTGACGGTCAGGTTGAGGAAGTGCTGCAACAGATGAGGGATTTGGCTATTTGCGGAATGGGATAATTATTTCTATTGATTTCTATATATTTATCCGTTTATTTATTGACATTTTTGTTTTATTTATTCGCATAATAGCATAAAGGCAATAGTTAGTAATCTTTTGATTTCTATAGTTGTGTTCATAGACATTTTTGTTTCTTTTTGAATTATGATGAAAAATACAGTTCAAATACTGAGTATATTTGAACTTGATACCTCGATATAGTCATACCTCTATTCAGTCACACCATGTATAGCCACACCCCCAGTTCCAGCTATTATGAGGTCCTGAGGACAATACAACTTTTTCTCTTTGCGAATAAAATCAAGATTCAAATAATCTTTTTTTTATTTGTATCGAATGACGAAATACGTGTATAAGACCGATTCATAATCTCCAATTAAGGAAGATTTTATTGAATGAATTTTTTTGAGATGATGTATCACAGTTTTCTTTAAACACATAGTCATTAAATTCTCAACCAGATTCCAGAATCCGAGTGTCTCCCGCAACCGTTATTGTATATAACAAGACCAAGCACTATTATTTGTACAAAAGAATAATGATCATTTTCTGATTGCTTCTTGTTACGGCGCTATCCATTATTTCACATTACTTTTGCATAAGCAACTGTGTTACGTTGCCGAAATATTAAAAATCAGTTATTATAAACGCGCGTGTATGTAAAAAAGATGCATAAAAATATATCTAATTTCCAATATAAAAAATATGATTAGTAATATTGAGTTTCTAGTTTTCATCAATGATATCTATATTCAAAGAAGACCGAAAAGAACGATTGATTTTTTTTACACCACTCTTTTCATCATCATCAAAATGATTCAATTGATATATGATGCATTTCATGAACTTTTGTTGGATTATGTGGTAATAATTCTTTGAATTAAGCACTCTCTCTTATCTCCGTATTATTACTTTTTCTCTTTCTCGTTTTCGTGGTGGTGGTGAGAGATTGAGTGAGAATGAAATTAGTAAACATGAAGAAATCACCCCATATTTTCTCGATTGATTCCATTTTTTTCTATTCGTCATATCAAAAAAATCGAATCAAAAAAATCATTTCCTGCAGATCCATTCCTGCTAGTCATTGATTGCATATTAATATTAATATATAGCGGGTAAAATAAAAATAATAAAAGTTCGTATCTCTTCTTTTATTACATATTAATAATATAATAAAATAGACTTATACACGTATATTATATATAGATAGATAGATAGATAGTTATTATTATTATAGACGACAAAACCACTCTTCGCAGGGCGAACAGTTTTTTTTATGACATAAGAACATCACATAAAAAATTTATTTCATTGTTTCCAAATTTGTTTGCTGATCTACATGATAGTTCATAACCACAAAAGAAGTTGACGAAGTAGTAATTGTTGAAATCTCTCTGCCCAACCTTGTAAGCGAATATCCTTCTTTAGTTTGAAATTTGCTTTTATATAAAATGAAACGTAAAAATAAACGACAATATATAAAGTTAATTAGCAAGCTTTTACTCACCGCTAACCTTCGATCTCTACCAGTTTTATTTCTAATCCATGTTTGAAATTTCCCAGCTTTCAAGTATTTGGTTTCTTCATTTTTTCTTTTGTTACATGTCCTATTTAAGGAATACTATTAATTTTCTCGTTTACTAATTACCAGTCGAACAACAAGAACACCCTAACATTACATGTTCTTCTCCTCCTTCAATGCCATTTTCGCCTTCAACAACTCCTATCATTGAAATCTTTGAACCACAATTACCACAAACACCAGGAAATTCACTTCCTTCTGCCGGCTTTTTATCTTCTTATTCGCCCACAACTCCACCGTTTGATGACCAATCAATAACAAATATTCCGCAGACTCGGAATGACATTTCCAATAACAAACCTGATACTAGTAACGATAATATAGCCATCTATTTTGAATCCATACAGAAAGAAACTATTGATGATGACGATGATTCTCACATGTTGAAAAATCTATTGCAATCACATATTGATGATAACAATAAAAACGTTAATAATATTAACGATAATGTCAACATTCAACGCCAAGGTAATTTAACAAACTCGTTTGAAGAAACCAATCAACGAGGTTATAGCCAGAACGACAAGAATATTCAAACAAAAGAAATAATTTCCAATAATCAATTTAATAAAGAAGGTACGTGATTAATTTATTATTACTTATTAAACTTTAATAGTAAACACTTTTCTTTCCCTAGGAATTACGGAGAATAATAATCATCATCGTCCTCAATTTGAGAATGTTACGACAACACAACAACAATTCAATCCTGAAGCATTGGAAAACCTCAGCAAATATTCTCAAATTGATTCACCACCGACTGTTGGTTCAAATTCTCCGCTTTCACCACGACCAGAAGAAAATGCAGACGGGTATGGATCATTGTTCGCTTTCGACACTACTATTTCTAACAATAATGATAATAATAGTGATGGCTCATTTAATATGAGTGAAAACATTAATAATCTTTTCGCCGAAAATAATAATCCACAATCATCGACTTACCACATGTCAAATGACTCTCTCTTTACTTATAACTACGAAAACAACAGCACTGACATGCCGACTACTCCTCAAGAAAATCTTACATCATTAAATCAATCCATTCAATCGTCGTCATCATCTATATCCATTTTGTCTGATCAAAACAAATCTTCTGAAATACTTGATTTTGCTTTTGCTAACGACATCGAAAATGGCAGAGAGATTGACCAAAGGATGGTCTTTCCTTGGGAAGAAAATACTTCAACAGACTCTCCTTCCCAATATTCACCAAATTCAAATATGACGCGACCGATTGAAAATAATCAACGACAGCATCAAGAGCACCATCATTCAAACAACAATCCTTCTGATAATCGTCAGAATCATCAACATAACAAAAATCTTGGTGATAATAGCAATTTCACTACTAATTCTTTATTATCACCAAATTTTTCTAATTCAAACACCACATCTTTCTCCCCGTTGCCGTCTTTTCTTGAACCAAATCAATCATATTTTACATCCCGATCCTCTGCCATAAATTCTGATAATTATGATAATTACACGATAATGGGGCAAAATCTTGGAATTAAGGAATCACAGATACAACGACAACATCAAGTTGCTTCAGGAAATTCTAGCACCGGCATCACCCCTTTCGATTGGTCATTATCTAATCCGTCGAATTACGCAGAGTTTTGGCAGCAACATCAACGTTCACAACAACAGCTATCACAATTGATCCACTCTTCTCCTTCACTATTTCAATACTATCGATTGGGTAACAATAACAGCAATAACCGTAACAGCAGCTCACCACTTTCACAGCAGCAACAAAATTTGTGTAAACGTTCGATGCGAAATGATCTTGGATTTCAAAATGAACATGATGTTTCATTAAATCCATCAGATCCGCGAAATTTGCTCTTTAATGCCCAAATGCAACAAGACATGTTTCAAATTGCATCACCTTCATCAGAACCTTTACGTAAACGCGCGAAACCACTAGAGATGAAAAATAGAGAGTTTCCTAATATTAGCTTCCAAGAGAAATCATCAAAATCAACACCATCTCCAATATCTTCACCCGTATTGCCATTTACTCCTTCTGCAGCAGCAGCAGCTGGATACCCTCCTTCTTGCCTTGAGAATCCCAAAAATTTTTATAACTATCTTCATCACCAGCATCATCAAATTGATTCTCAAGAATATTCGCAACAAAATGTGGAGACGGAAGAAGAGGAATCGACTGCTGAACTACCACCCGCTGATCCCAATGACACCCGACCAGATTCTAAGCCTCGACGACAAAGAACTAGGTATCCGGGTGATTTGTATACGCCTAAATGGGTTCGACTCATGGGTCAATCAAAGGAGGGATATTGTGATTTATGTGAACCGGGTAAATGGTTGCAATTGAAAAATAGTGCATATTGGTATGAATTTATTTAGAATTATTATATCGCATTTTTATCCTTAATTTACATTTGTACCTTTTACAATAATCAGGTACCATAAGCAATTCTATCATGGAATCTCTTCAGTATCTGGAAAGTACTTTGTCCCTCCAATTGATACACGAACCGTTCAAGCGAATTCATCAATAATTTATAGTTCCTCTTCGATGAACTCCTTACCACCAACAGCTTCCTCCTCTTCATCCACTCTGGGCAACACTGAAGGTCTTTGCCATCAATGTCAACAATGGATTCCATTGACAAGCACAAAGAAAAAGACGGCAACAACTTCTGTTCTTTGGTTTCGTCATGCACACAAATGTCACGTTTACATAAAGCCAAAGAACGCGCCCTCAAGGAAAAAGTAACAAAGTATTAAAGTATAAGAGAATAAGCAACACAGCAAAAGCAAAAAATTAAAACTTAAAACCTGGGAAGGGAAAATGTGTAAATATTATTAAGGAAATTATAAATTGGTATAAAATTTGGTTTTTAAGAAACGCTAATATCTTTTAGAATAGAAATTAAAATGTGTACTTTTACTAGAAATAATAAAAAATTTTAAATAATCATTATGAAGTTTGACGCGTAATGTATATAGACACCAGACAAAATGGAGTTAACGCTACAGTAAATCTCAATACGATATAAAGATTAGCCATTTGGAAGAAAACATGCAGCACAAAAGGTGTGTTTTGTGAACGTAACAGAATCCCAAAGTCAATTATCTTTGGTTGCTGCAGTCAAGGAGGCTGTTTTGTGTAATTCTAGCTTTATTTTTTTTGACATAAACATAATCTTTAAAGTTATAGAGGAAAATAAGTTATTACAGGAAAATTATCAAAGCTAACCGTTTAACCACTGGATTAAATTTTATGTCCAGTAATTTATTGCGTAATTTTTTATATGTCCAACTGCCTATAAAATTTGAATCAAATAATTATATAATTATTTTCTTAATTCTGGCGAGAAGGAGCACTGGTTAATGTATAATTTAATCATCACTATCACTGTGTAAAGTCCCTCGCCACTTTTTGAAAATTGGTTTATTTTTGTAAAAATCCATCGTTATATCGAGATTTTAATTACAGTATTCAGTCTCAAATTCAAAAAATGGACACGTGATAATTATCCAATAAAATTACAAGTTTATAATATCACATGTTCAATGAAAAATGCGAAAATAAATAAAATATTCAAATCTGGCTTGGAGTAATAATAATATTGGGAAGTCAATTTTATATAAAAATTTATATTATTTTAATTATTGTTAATGCTTAACATTTTAATAGATTAGTTTTTTATGATGCTTGACATTTAATAACTTATTTTTTTGTATATAATTTTTACTGGATAAGAGAATTTTAGTTAAAACAACAGTTAATTGATATAAAACATTCTTAAAATTAAATAAAAAAAACTTATACTAAAAATAAACAAAATAATTAATAATCTCTTACAATATTACAAAACTCATTATTCAGTATTTATCTATGAGATTTATATTTTTTCATAACATATTTAGCTACAATATCAATCAAACTCTTCTTGTAGAAATTCATTCATCTAAAAGTCTTTCTTGTATAATGCTGAATCTCAGTCAATGAGATCAATACTAATGCTTTTGATACTATTTTTACCAAATCCTTCCATGTATAATTATAGTTTGCTTATATAAATTGCTTTGCTATCCCCCAAAAATTTTTAATATAGTTAAGCTCATAGTGAAATTTTGAATAGAAGCTGATTTTATGATTTTGTGTAATAATAATTTTCTTTAACTGAGATTTTTGTTCCAGAAAATCTGGTTGATTTTGCAAAATTACAAGTACATAACAATTAGTTTACTCTTGATATCTCTTGTTACATTTTCTAATTAATTTTTGTCTCTATAAATCTCTTTCTATTAGCACTTGCTTTATTTCTTTTGATTCATTTCTCAATTTTAGATTAGGATAATTTTGAAAAAATATCATCTCTTATCATTGTTCATTAAATATTGTTGTTCTGTTCAGTATTATATAAAAATTAAACACATAAGTTGAGTTTTAAAATAAAAGTAAGTTATATAATGTACAAACCTCATTTTTAATTATTTGTTCTTCAGTTTTAAGTTTATCTGTAATGTTATCAGCACATTTTCAGAATAGATAACATAATCACTAGCATTATCAAAGACAAAAACTGTTATATAATTAGAATATTGTTACTATTTTTATAGACTTTAAGTTTTTGATATATTATTTATGTATTTCTATTAATTAAAAGTGAAAAAGACTAAGTTTTATAGTAAAAGAAACTAAAAATTTATTACTAAAAATAGATAATATGTATTTGTATTATAATGAACTAGAATGATATTCAATAACTTCACTAAGTTTTACGTATTTATTTAGAACTTCAAAAGTTATGATACAATTAATAAGTTTATTAAGTGACTATCTTTTAAATCAATAACAATAATTTATTATAAGCAATCTATCTTTTAAGATCAAAAATCAATACAAATATAACTTTACAAGTTATTTGAAGTTTCTATTAAACAAGAAACTTTTTGAGTTATTAACTACTTTTTCTAAGCTAAAATAAGATATTTTTTGTTTATATAAACAAAAAAATATCTTATATTAGATTATTATAGTCTCAGATATGGTATGTAAATTGCAAAACTCAAGTCATTTGAGTAATGGAACATTTATAATCTGCTTATCAGGTAATGTGTGATTTGCATTTGCTTTATCATCTGAGAATTATCAGGATATATAGATGACTTGACATACAATTTCTATTTTTCACATCACTCAAATAATGATTATAGCAAATTTTTATCATCATTTTACATATGATGTATAATATTTATACTTATCAAAAATGCAGATCAGTCTGAAATTTTGAAATGATGATTTTCACGTGATATAAGTACATTTGTTAATTTTATTGGCTCATTAAATCTGATACTATATTATAACATTTATTCTTTATCTGATTTATTTAACTCCTTAAAGATACTTTTCGGAATTCTTCTGTGAGATCAGTATTTTTTACCACATATTTCACCAATTTTCTATTAATATCTTTCCTATAAAGATTCATATTGTATTAGCATTTTCTTGAGAACTTTTTAATAGTCATTAAGGATACTGAATCAAAGACTTTCAGGAATCATTTTTTGTAATCCTTATTATAAATAATCACAATTTTCACATGAATGTTATTTGATAGCTCTCCAATATCTCTCAATAAAATTTAACTTGTAGTGAAACTTCAAAAAAAAATATATTTAGATCCTGCATTTTCAATTAACTCCTCAATAGTACCTTTTTAAGCAAGAAAATTGGACTTCAAGGATATTACTTGATATGCACAACAAGAAGTTCTTGAAATATCTTGATTCTTTTCTTTGTATTTGTTGCATTTTAATACTAATCCTTCAGGTAGTCATTTTTCATATCCTATCAATACTTGCTTAATTCTTTTAGATGTATCTCAAAGTTTTTTATCATGATGTATTATTGGAAACATCATCAATTATAGTTGATTATTTTGTTCAAAATAGGTATCCTGCATAATTAATTGCTTGCCATCTGGATTTAAGTTCATTCAGCTTGTGATCAAAGTATTTTTGCTAAACATAATGTAATTAAAGCTATTATTAAAAGTGAATACAGCCATGCAATCCAGATATAATATTTCAAAAATGGGAATTGCTTTGTATTCAATTTGTTCAAGAAGATGCTCTGCTGTTCAATAACCTTCTTGATTTATGTCAGGTTTTAAGTAACATTGTGCCTCTTCAGGTATATAGAAATTTATTTCTTTATTAGCTTGCTGCAAGCATAGATATCTATCAATCTCAGTTAGAAATTCATTAATCATAATTGATCTCTCATTTCCTTTTTTCTGTAGTAATATCTTACCATTTTTAGTTCATACTCTGTATTTGAATAAAAAATGCATTCATCATGAACTACAAAGACTCTCTCTTTCTCTCCTTCAGGTAAGTCAAGATATATTCAGTCCATAAATTCATCTTCGTATTTGAACATGTATTTCTCATGCTCGAATATTTTTTCTAGGAATTCTTTTTGATATCACAGAATGTTATTTCTCTCATGTTTATCATAATATATTTCATGACAATATTGTTGAAACGAATAGCCAAAAATCTTAAATTACCTTATTGCAGTCATTAAAGTAATAATTTTTTTTTGGTAATTTCAATGCTAGAAATAATTCGTTCTCAACAAATTTTTAAATACTGCTGGTGTGGTATCAAAATTTTGTTCTCAAATTCAAGTATAACATCTTTCTGCAACATCTTCATCATTGATTACTCTAATTATTTTTTGGTGTTTTTCATGTCGAGATGCTGAAAGTTTATTATTAAGTAACTAGTAGTAGTGTTCCTATGAACTGAACCAAACTGAATTTTTGTCCAGATTTGAGTTTGGTTCAAAATTTGAACCAAACTTGAACTGGATTTTGGCTTGAGTTTAAGAAAGATTCGAAGTTTGAACTGAACTCAAATTGAATCATTATATGAGTTTGAGTCTGATTTGAGTTCGATTAAAGATTGATATATACACACCCCTACAGTATATTACCGAAAATTTAATGTCAATCATTCAACGAATCAAAGTTTTTATTATCCCTGTAAAAAAAAAATAAAAACAAAAATCAGGAAAAAATCCAGTTTTTTAGTTCTGGAAAATCACGGGTTTTGTTAACAAATTTCCGGATTAAAATCTGATAAAAAACTGCTTAAAAATGAAAAAAACGGGGAAAATAAAAAAAATATCCGGAAACTTTGGGA